CGCGCTCACACTCGTGCGCACATAAAGCACAAGAGACTGAACGTCAATGCCCCGATATACTCGCAGCGAAGTTCTTTTTCGTAATTTGCTTAAGTAAAAAATAATTTTTGAAACGGCTTTGCAGCAATATGCTGTTATCGAACATCTCAGTCCACACTGAGAGCGACATTTAGATGAATATATGTGCTGCGCACTTTCCTCTCAATAGCCAAATAAACACAACAAAAATGAAAGAGGTGAGAAAACAGCAGTAAACCAAGCATTTGATCATAGCAATGTGCGTTTGCAGCAGCTCTGCAATTCACTGCCATCATGTCGACATAAAATGAGGTCATTAAAATGACACTTATGATAGTTTATAAAGTATATCTGAGACTATGGTATAGATAGACTATATAGATCTGACTATGTGAGAATATAGTTTTAATGAATCGCCTTTCTTTGCATGACACATTGACATTACAGTACAGAATATTTATTTTGGCATTATCCCGAATATTGTATAAGCATTCATTTTATGTGTCATTGAACGGAAGAGAGGTTCCCAGTGAAACCGGCCTCGAGTCCGTCACATTAAAATCAGTCTAGAGGCTTTCATAGACAACCATGAAAGTCAGGGAATTGGTGTTGTTTTTTTAAGTTTCATCACAAGCTGTTCACACATTGGCAGTACAAGAAAACGATTAATAAATCCCATTTAATGTGAGAATACTGAAGAATTGTCAGTGAGGAATCCTTGTCAGTTGTCTGAATCAGATTTCTTTATTTTTTATTTTATTTTTTATATAAATTAGTGAGATTTCAGTCCTTTTCAAAATTTTAATTAGTAGGTCAAAGAGCAGTTACACACTTAAAGGGACGGTTTACCCAAAAATATCATTTATGCACCCTCATCTCAATCCAAACCCAAGATAAGTAATTGAATCAATCATAAAGTCATTAACTTAATGGACAAAATAGCATTTTTGAAATGTCATTTTATCCACATGAGGGTAAATGACAGATTCTTTTCATTTATTTGTTTAAATTAACCCTTTATTAGCCCTTTCCCATCACATCTGCTGTCTTTACATGTTTTGAATGACATTGCACTTCTAGCAAAAGCTATTTAAAATATATTTCCAATTGCCTCACTCCTTATCTCTTCCATATGTAAAGAATAGTTTGCTCGGTTGCGTCTACAAACTTTTAGGATGACTTCCTGTGGAGGAGATGTCAAACCATCATCCAGCCCAGAATAATCCTGTTCTTATAAGAACTGAGCTGTATGTCAAGAGCAGTACGTTTGCAGGTTTGAATCCTCTCACGGTTATATAAAGGTCCAAACAGGATGTCTTAGTAAAAACGCCTGTGGTGTTGGAGAAAGCAGATGGTCCAGCGTGTCCTACATTGACTGATTTTCTTCTGTTATGTGAAGCAGAAATACTCTTATTTTACATCTGCTGTTAGTGCTGATTGACTTGTTGGCAAATTTTATGCAGTACTCTCTCTTATAAATGTTTAGATTTCTATTTCAAATAAATGCTGTACTTTGTTAATTTTCATTTATCAAAGAATTCTAAAAAACAAATGTACAACAGTTTCCACAAAAATATGAAGCAGTACTACAAATGTTTTCAACAGTGATGATAAGAAATGTTTCTTGAGCACCAAATCAGCATGTTAGAATGATTTCTGAAGGATCATCTGACACTGATGGCAAAGCTGAATTTTTAGCATCATTACACCAAAGGAATAAATTACATTTTCACATTTGCATTAAAATATATTCACAAAGAAAACGGTTAATTGAATTAGCTGTTTTTTTTTTTGTTTTTTTTTTTACTTGTTTGAAAATTAGTGTAAAATGTGTTTCGACTTGCTCATTACTGCGCTCACACGTCATCTACAGTTTCAGAATTTCATAGATAATAATAGAGGTTTCTTCACGATTCGAGTTCTACACATCTCTCGTCTCTTGCCTGCTCATTTACGAGATGTTTTGCCTAATTTTAATATGCTTTTTCAGCTGCAGGTATAAAAGTGTATTACTCTCAGCTCAGTAAGTCCGTTTAAATCAGCAGAATTTTGCCCAGATTTTTGTCCTCCAAAAATCAGTGCAGGAAATGCAGAAGTCTGCACATTCCTTCTGGTCCTCGTGGTATAGATTCAATCTATACAGCAGTTCTTGCAAAGGAGCACACATGCTTGGTGCTACAGGTAAACGTGAAATGGCAATAAAACTCTTATATTTATTCAGGCTTGCTTTACATCTATCAGACAGCTCAGTAGTGGCATATCTCAATCTCAACATCAGAAACCTTCATCTGTTTAGCTTTAAAGTGAGTCAGCATGGGGGGCCGGCAACGCAAGCTGTCTCACCAAACTAAACCTTCAGCATTTAACCATCCAGCTACGATAACAGCATGAATTTGGATGCAGTCACGTACACAAGAACAACACTTTCCGAGGTTCAAGCCAGAGGATAATTCACAGAACAGTGGTGGGTTGCGAATTGAGAAAGCCCACGGTTATATTTTAAGCTACTGAAATCTAAATCTTGTTCAGGTGCATGGGGGACGCATCGATAATCAATACGAGTCTATTGACTCACGTTTTAGTTTAAAATGGGTTAGAAAGGGCAAGTCAGGTTAGTGTCACTACATTGCTGTTCAGTCAGTGAATAAATGCAGATGCTTGCAATTTGTCTGCTCAAATTCAGTCATCCTGGGCATTTGCATTGCAGAAATGTGTCGAGGAGCATCTGGACTACTTTTTCATTTAGAACATGCCACTCATCCATGTATCATCGGGGACGGTTGAAGAATGGTGAGCAATCACCACATTTATCTTCATCACATTGTGATGTTTTGAGACAGGCAGATTGCCAGTATATGTAAAGTTAAATACAAATTAAAATTGTGTAATGTAAAGCAATGTTTTGAAATAAATAAATAATAGTGTATTTGAAAACTTCATATGCAAAAGCCGCCACCTCGATGATAGATAACGATATTGAGCGAATGCTCTTTGCACATAGTAGAATAAAAACATACAATCCCGCTAAATCCCAGCCTCAGCCCATTCAGAAATTCATTGTACAAGCAAAAGCCTCTAAGTTCAAAGAACCAATCAGAAGACGCTAATCAAATCATGTGATTTCAAGATGAATGGCGTACATATGAGCTGCAAGTTTTTATCCTGTTTAAAGAGATTTTTAACTTAACAAGATGGAGGAGTATGATGAAATGAGAGATTTTGCGAGTAGCATGTAAACACAACAGTGTTCCTGTTATACTGTAACTCTGACAGAAACGGACATAAGCTACATTAAAGAACAGCTCTATTCTACCCATGACAAAGTCAAACAAGACGCCGACTTAGAGGTTTTTGCAACAAAACAAAAAAAACACACACACACACACATGGACTGGTTTTGCAGCAAACAAAAAAAACACACACACACATGGACTCAGCTGGTTTTGCAGCAAACAAAAACACACACACACACACACACACATGGACTTAGCTGGTTTTGCAGCAAAGACATTCAAATTTGTTAAATACCAATGAGTTGACTAAAGTGACATTTTTGAATAATGGCATTTCAATAACTGACTAATAACCTTTTCGTTGCCATTTAAGTGAAATTACTGAACCTGATAAAAATGCTCATTTAAAAAAAAGGTTTTTGCATCTGAAGTCTTCATATGTAATGCATGTATAAAAGTTAAATAAACATATGAAATACAAATAATATTATGTAAATATTTTATTTACACATTTTGTCCCACAAAGATTTATCAATAAAATTGTGTTCATGTAAAATGCAATATAAATGATGATATTTAATAATATTTACGTCATTTGCACACTTTTTGTTTTGTAATCTTGCATTCATTCAAACAAATACCCTCTTGTAATTTTAACGATCCGCAAGCTTGGTTCCCATAAAACCTCATCCTCCTTTTGGATGTAATCTAGGTCCCATGATCCTCCTTATTCCAGGACTGAGTATGTCTGAGACATTAGCCTGACTGATCTCATGACTGAGCCTTACTGATCTCATGCTTCCTATGAATGGACCGATGACTGCAGGGGTTCTCCTGGGATTCCACTGATCCCTCCACTGTTCGTTTAACTCTGAGCTTAGCCTTCATTGCTCTCTTGACTTTTATATGTCTACTGACCCGGCAGATCATTGTGACACAGACGCTGTGGATTTATGCTTGAATCCATCGCCGTCTCAGATGCTTGGATGTGGTGCAATGAGTGTGCATACAGAATCTGTTTGTTAGTAATTACATTTTCTTTCTTTTTTTTTGTTGGAGCTACAGTGCAAATTCAAACAAGTTTAAAATATTTTGAGTTGAAAAGGCTTAATATAAAATTAGAATGCATTTGTATAGTGATCTAGGTGCTCCGTCTTAAACCGTTGAGGTTCTTTAGCTGGTTCCTTGCCTTTGGTCCTCATTCATTTTGATTAAATGCATACAGCAAGTTGCATTTGCACATTGTCACAGGCTGTAATCTTATTCCTAAAAGCCACGGTTATCAGTGTGTCACATGCTATCATATTTAACAGATAGCCGCCTGTTTTACATCAGGACTGAGAAGGAGCTCTTCACACATGCAAAAGAGCTGTGAATGAGTCCTGCGGGATGAGAAGCTTCAGTCACCTGCTGTGAATGAGGATTAGGGCGTCTTTTTGCCCGCCCCTCGTCATCAGCACTGTAGTTTGATCCTGTTGCCAGCCGTCTTTGGCAGTACTGAGAATGTCCAATTCATGAATTGCATTCCTTCATTTATGCTTGCTCCTACTTTCTCTGCGTGTATAAGATGCATTACATGAAATGATTTTTTATTTAACTCTTGATGTATTTTGATGAATATCATACATATGGTTATAATATTACAATTTATTCTGTTATGCAAAGGAATATTTTGGGAATAATACAGATGTTTTGAAAGTGTACAGAAAAGTCATAATTCAATCTCTCTCTCTCATCTTTTTTTTGAAGACACGGGACACGTTGTGCTGGAGAAGTTGCTGCTGTTGCCAACAATGGCATCTGTGGAGTCGGAGTGGCCTACAATGCCAAGATCGGAGGTGAGTTGGCGTATTTAAACATACATTTATCGTGTTTTATCACGTACAGTCTATTGTCAGCACACACCCTGCCCTTTCTTATATTTGAATTGCAAAACACCTCAGTGAAGCATCCAATTAGCTTTACATTCAGATTAGCCTTGTCTCTGTCCATTATACTGTATGAGAACTCCGTACCGAGAGCACTTCGGAAGAGGAACTCCATTAGTGATGGCTTCATGAGCTCAAGTGGGAGATTTATCACAGGCTCCAGCACAGGTCCCTTTGCGCCAACGATTTGGACGCTGGCATATGTAATCCTTTTAATTGGCTGAGGTGATTTGATCCTTTTCGGTGCAGATTTTCTGCTGTCTACAGGATCTTGGACTCAGCGATAAATGTCATTGATTAGTGTCATTGATAGTGGCAAACGCTTTCCACATTCTCTCCAAAAAAATCTCACTTTAGATTATCAATATGAATGAATGAATGAGGCACTTTACTGGGTAAATTCACTCAAATATGCAAATTGTCATCATTAATTGTCACCCTTGTGTTGTGCAAAATACGGTTTGACTTTCTTTGGTTTAACACAAGGAGATGTTAAGCAGAATTTATGTACTGCCATTCTCCAATATGATAACTTCATAACGATAGCTGTTCATAACCAAAAGCTATCATATGACTGCAAAAGAATACACAAGCTGGATGAACGGTTTAACATTTTTATTGTGTTTTTCATGGGAGGGAAAAAAATCACATTTGTTTGAAACAACATGAGGTTGAGTAAATGATGACAGGATTTTCATTTTGGGTGAATTAAGTTTTACCATTTGATAGCACATTTGATGAATGACACCACAGAATAGATTATGTAACACATTTATGTTTCTGTTTATATAACGTGTATTATGAGGTAACACTGGCTCTATACAGCAGCAGTAGCATATTTAAGCACCGACTAATCAAACAACAATTTTTCAGAGAGAAAATGCTTTTAACGACACCCAGGAGATTTTGGTGTTTTATTCTATTTATTTTAAACTTTGACTTTGAAACACACTCTACATAACTCTATATAATAAATGTTTTCTCCCATTTATTATATATAATTTTTGCTGGTGATTGTTATAAGAGGTGTTCACCTAGCATCACTAAAGCAATGAGCATTTTGTCAGAACCTCTAGTTTGCATGTTTTGTTTAGTTGTCTGATGTTTTTTCCCCCCCTCAGAATCGTGGGAGAATTGCAATCTCCATTTTACACAAAAAAAAATCGAGATTCTCAATTTATTCAGAATCGTGCAGCTCTAATGCATCATAAAATAACAGCACACACCTTTCCTCAAAAAATTGCATGATTTAACGTATCACTCACGCCCATAATACAAACAGTGCAGGGTGACTTGCATTTAATACCTATGTTTAGGGATTTGACCAAACCTCTTAGAATAAGCTATAGTAATTACTAGTAAACTCAAGTCACCCTGCGCTGATGTGGCACGTTATACATATGAATGATACGGTAAATCATGCAATTTTTTGAGGAGAGTTGTTATTTTATGATGCAAGATGCATTTCAATTTGATGCAATTTGGCTAATGAAAATGGGCAAAAAAGGAGAACAGTGGCAGGATTTTATATTCTCAAAAACATTTCTTAAGAATGTTCTTATCTTTGTTCTTAGGTTTGTTCTAAAGACAAAACTTAAGAATTTGAATTCCTAAAAAAATGCTCTTAAAAATCATCATAAATAACCCATTAGAGTTATGATAACCACCTTGCCTTAACTCAGTAAATGTATTAAACATCATACCTTTGGGAATTTTATTTGTTTCAAATATTAAGCAACACAACATAACACTAGCTATATATAATACATATTAAAATTACATTGGGTGAGTAAAGTGACTGATTGAGATGGACGTGCCGAAAATCCTGTGTGCGCTTATTACCGTATATTTACTATGGTAATTGGCAGACAGTGGAAAAATAGGAATTTTAAGGTTTTTTTTTTCATTGGGTTGATCAGCAAATCTGCCATACAGTATGAACACACCAGTGCGGGTGGGTGGGCTCTGTTGACAGGGGTTTAGTTAGCAACCACCTAAACACTGTGATGGTGAGTTTTACATGGACAACCACCACCAATCTTGTTTTTTTCAGGGACTAAATATATGCTACATATCAAATCTTCCCTTTTATGCAGAAAGATAATGCTTTATGGGTAATGTGCATTTCTTTTTTGTCAGCTCTGCCTTTGTTTTTCTTTAAAGCAGCTGTTTTTGAATTAGCTTCCTAATGGGAAGCAGTGAAGGATAAATCTTCCTGTGCCCAGTTTCACCTTGAATCCAGGGTGAAATCTTTGCTTAATAAGCAGCAGATAGTTATAATATATACACACACATACTGTGTGTGTGTCTATAGATGCCTTATTAGCGGCTGTTTCTATGGGCCATGTTGTAACAGTCAAAGCCGGTCTGTGAACATTCAAGAGCAATTTGACTTAGCCTCTGCAGCTGTATTTAGTTTAGTTAATACTGTACATAAAAACACAAACCAATACATTTTCACCTGTGAAAGGTTATCCCATTTCTGCGCAATGTTGTGGCATCATTGATTCTTACTGTGAGTGACGACACGCTGACCGTTCCAAGATGCCGGGCGTGCCAATGTGTCTGGTGCGGTCGAATGTGGCAGCTATGTATTTATGGCAGATACTACTCCTAATGTACCATGGGGACAGAAGGCTGAGACAATTGGAGGTCTTTGGATAGCTGACCCATAACATCAGCCCAAACTGGCAGGCAGTGCCTTCTGCTAGAGGAAGGTTGAATGTGGAGATGGCACACAACACGGCTAATTCCTCTGCCAGAACTCATTAGGAGAGAATATTGTTTTGAAAGATTTGGAGGAAACAGTAGAGTACATTGTTCAAATTTGCTTTATAAAGAATAAACCTGAGGTTTCTTGATGCATTTTTGAGGGGACGTAGATTGTGTATTGACCAAGTCTGAATAAAAAAATCCCTTCTTTTGTTGCCACAGTGCATCCGTGTGTATATCTGTTATGCCTTTCTCATTTCCTGGGAAGTAATCATAGCCAGCTCTCTCTTTGTCCTGTGGGGATATTTGGGACTTTTGGAATGTAGATATGGGATAATAACATTGTCTTTCCAAGATGCTGTGCTGTATTTTTCTGTAGTTGTTGTCGGTTTGTTTGCAGTACTGTCTGCACCAATGCTCTCAGATTGCTTTGGAAAACCTGAAAGCACTGAACTTTTGTTTATTTGCACTAACCCGTATGAGGGCAACCTTGAGTAACCTCGCCCCCTTGTGTATCAAAGGAGTGATTCACATTGTTTTGAAGATGTTTGACTCTGATTTCTCCTCTTTACCACTTTAAAAACTAAGCTGTGGGCAGAATGTTCTCTCTTTTTTTTTATTCGAGGCTGAGATAACGTTCTGATGCTGGGATCACAATAACTCAACACCTCTGACATTTTGGACCAAACGCTCTGGCTCGTTCCCAAACCCACAATTTGGTTTAAGATTCCCTTTTGTACAGGGAAGTGGAAAAAGATAAGATGGTCTTCTCTGTTGTGAAGCATCTGTGAAGGGATGTTTGAAAGAGAAGAATGTAGCCGCTTGTCACCTTTGAATGAACTCCAAAGATCGTTTGCACTCATCATTTTACTTTTAAAAGAACTTTTATATGCAGCACTATCTGTTTGTGCACCTCGTTCCTTTCATGCTGCAAGTTATAAACAGCAAAAAGATCTCGATCATATGGGGGTTTTATTAGGGTTATTCAAAGTGGCTTCTTTGTATTCAGCTTTACTGTATGTTTAGTTATGTTGCATCTCTGCGCATTCTCTTAAAAATATTGGTAATCAATTTACTTGCTTGCTTCTCAAAGGAAATATAGGTTCTGGCATTGGGCCGCTAATTAACTTCTTGACACAGCCCTAACATTGCAGGCAGGTAGGGGTTGGCAGTATAAGAAAAAAATGACATTTAAAAGTTTTGATTTACACCATTTATAATAATACACATTCAAATGTAATGAAAGATTGTTTTCACTTTAAACATTGTTTAAAGTATTTTATATGTTATTTATTTATTTGTAATCATGTAGTTGTAAATTTTTATTTTTTTTTCAGTTAAGACATATTAAATTGTTCAAAATGAACAGTAAAGACATTTATAATGTTGCTAAATTGTTTTATTTCAAATAAATGCTGTTTTTGTGAACTGTCTATTTATCAAAGGATCCTATAAAAATGTATCAAAGTTTTCATTCAAAGGATTGTAGCATTGATAATAAATGTTTATTGGGCAGTAAATTAGCATATTAGAATGATTTCTGAAGGATCATGTGACACTGAAGACAGGAGTAATGATGCTGAAAATTCAGCTTTGCATCTCAGGAATAAATTACATATGACACATATTAAAGTAGGAAACAGTTATTTAAAATTGCAATAATATTTTACAATATTACTGTTTTTACTATATTTTTGATCAAATATATGTAGCCTTGGTGAACATAAGAGACTTCTTTCAAAAACATTAAAACATGTTACCAGTTCTTAATATAGCTCTCTGTAGCATTTTTTTGGCATCTGAATTCTGCATTTTTACTAATATCACTGTAAATCTAGATATTATGGAATCTGTTTCCCCTAACATCCCATCTAAATGTGAAATGCTTGTAATGGCCATCCTCCTGTGGCAGTTTTCACAACAATTCCTAACCTTTTATCATCTCATCTAAATAGAGGTATTACAATAATCATTGCAAAAATAATTTAACCAAAGTATTTGTTCATAATTTGCTCTCTGTCCTTTAATGTGTATGATGTTTTGTGTTTTGCAGGTGTACGTATGTTGGATGGAGAGGTCACTGATGTGGTGGAAGCTCAGTCCCTTAGTCTCAACCCACACCACATCGACATCTACAGCGCCAGCTGGGGACCCGAAGATGACGGCAAAACGGTGGACGGACCTGCAAAGTTGGCCAAAGAGGCTTTCCTACGTGGTGTATTAGAGGTTTGGCATCTCTCTTGTATTACTGTACCTTTAAGACTGATCTGAAAAGTACGTATATGCAAATGTTAGTAGTTCTTAAAAATGAAAATGCTGTCATGATTTACTAATTTTCAATTTAGATTGAAAAGAGATCATTTTTACTTCCTTTAGATGGGACTGAATGCAAAATAATGAATTACAAAAATTTGAGGCTGTTTATTTATTTAAACCAAGGTACCAGTGCTTGGTGTCAGGGAGGGAGGAAGTTTTGCGCTGTGAATGTCTACATAAAACCCATTTCAAAAGAGCAAAGAAAAGCTCCTGTTTTCCATGACTTGTACAATTGCTTCTGTGACTCATGATCTATTTTTACTGTTTCCTGACATTATCTACATCAGTTGGTCTGTGCCACAAATGGTAGATGTGCTTTCATTGATATTCTTGTGATGAAATGGTCCTATCTGAGCCTGAATTTGCCTCTTAATCTTGAACTTTTACCAGCAGCGTCATTTAGAGGGTATAAATTTGTGGTTCAAATGATTTTATTTTTTTTCTTATTTGCTTTGAAGTTAGCGATGCCAAGGGGGCTTTGGAAGGGATGCTCCGTATTTGATATTGCCACACTTCATTTGCGAGTGCCTTGAGTCATAAAAGCACTTACTAGTCAGAGCGAAGTTTGTTTAATTTAGAACGTCACATTAAATGGCAATTCTAACTGAGACATATTCATGCAGATTTTCCAGAGCGTGAACAGTATTGACATTCTTAATACCTAATTACTTAACGCCATTTGAGCTAAACTGCTATCATGCGCGGGGTAACGGAACGGCATTAGTTTTAGCCCTTCACTCACACATGAACGTGCACCGGGGTTGTAAAACTGGCTGTCGCCCAATAAAAGGACAATGGAAGAGAGTCGTGCCAAGATGCTACCTACCGCAGTGTCTATAGGAACAGACTTTTTATAAAAACATTATGGGAGATGACTATGTCACAGATTAAATGCATCACTTAAAGGGATAGTTCTTCCCAAAAAATTTAATTCTGTCATCATTTACTCACCCTCATGTCGTATCAAACCACTATGACTTGTTTCTATGGAACACAAGAAACTGACAATTTTCTGGTTTGTTTGTTTGCTTATGGCTTTTTTTTTTTTTTTTTTTTTTTTTTTTGACCACACTAACTTTCATTGCATGTGCAACTGTAAAAACAGTTGAATTATCAAAATATCCTCTTTTGAAGATAGAAAGTCAAACAGGTTTGGAATGACATCGAGGTGAGGAAGTGATGAAAGAATTAAAATTGTTTAGTAAACTGTCTCTAAGTTTCCACGTTCAAGGAAACATGTAAGCTATGCATTAAATATTACAACGGTGTAAAAATACTGTATTTTATAGTCTTAAGACAAAGATACTAACATTAAACAGGCCCCTGAATGGCATATTATATTTTAAAGTTGGTTTACTTTATCATTGGTCAACAGCAAAAGCGTTGCGACAACATTTTAAATTGTGCAACAAATATTTCAAAATGTCTTTCACTTATCATTTCCTTTAATATCAGTAGATTCACAGCATCCGCTGATATGGGGAAACTCTAGTGTGCAAGCACTTAGCCACAACTGCTTTACTTATTTTAAAATGATCACTGTTGTGCTTTTTTGTCGTTCTTTTTTCTCCATTTACATTGTTTGATTATCTCTTAGTCAGAGTTAAGATACTACTTTAATATTCAACAATAGTCAGAGGTATTTATTGATGTTTCACTGTAACCAGTGAAAATATAAAGTTTTAAGTAGATGTTAGTGATACCAAATATAACAATCTTTTTTTAACCTATTACACAGAATAGCACAATGTTTTTTCCCATCCATATTTATTTATATTTTCTAGCCATTGTTACATGTGTGTGCAAGCAGTCAGATTTGTTTGGTGAACAAGATCCATTTTGTGTGGGGAAAAGGCCTATGCAAATGGGGCTCTGGTCTGTGTAAACACCCTCACTGAATGGATGCCCACAATCAAGCAGGTGTGTGCTGTAAGCGAGAGCAAACTCTGAAAGACGGAGCCAAACTTTGCACTGCAGACTTTTATTTGGTGCATTGTTGGAATTGTAAGGTACAGTAATGACCTTAAAAAAAAACGCAACGAACAAAGGTATCGAGCAAACAGCATCTGAATCTAATTATTTGTACTGCTGCCCTTTCCTTGTGGCAACATGGTGAAATGAAAGTCGCGGCTATTGAAATATGCCTCGTTAATGTGGTGCGTGCATTTTTCACAAGCTCATTATCAGTTCTGACAGTTTGCTTTTGTATTACTGTGCTTCATCTGAGAAGTAGACCACAAAAGCCCAGTGCTGTTTGTGTCTTTCATTTGCGCATGAAAATAAACATGCATGATAAATGACTTGAGAACATTAGGTTTTTCCCACAAGGTCCTTTTAAAATCATCTGGCCCGGCAATCGAAACCATGACAGTGCTTTAATAGTCCATGACACTGAAAATCCTTTCTGGGAGACAATACTTTCCAGACTCCACTCATCACAAATATTATCCAGTTGTTTTGAGTACTGTCACCGGTAATCCTTCCATCTCAGACTTGGCAGCGCAGTGCTCGAATCTGGCTCTCAACGTCTTAACGGCATTTGATTGGGCTTGCATGAAAGGAAATGCATTTGAGTGACTGTTTCTTCTCCCAATTTCTAGGGCCGCGGAGGACGGGGGTCCATCTTCGTGTGGGCTTCGGGGAACGGCGGCCGCGAGAAGGACAGCTGCAATTGTGACGGCTACACCAATAGCATCTACACGCTGTCGATCAGCAGCAGTACGCAGAACGGCAACGTGCCCTGGTACAGCGAGGCCTGTTCGTCCACCCTCGCCACAACCTACAGCAGTGGAGGCCTCAATGAGAAACAGATTGTGAGTCTCTTTCTCTCTCCGCCTCCAGATAATCAGCACCAGTTATCCTTTAATTGAAGAAGTGGCATAGCTAATCTAATCCAAAAGTAAAGGATCTGAAAACAGTTGGAGTTCAGAAGATAAACTGCCAAGCCAATTTATTAAGAATTGTTGCAGCGTCTTTAAAGTTCTTACAGGCTTTTTGGCTGTCAATGAATACTGCGGTCACTAGTGAAGGGGAAGATAGATGCTTTCATCTTCATGGCCCTTTAAGCGCTTTTCCAAGCCTTACTCTCTGTTTAAAAGCCTTAAAAAACACGGATGTTCTTGGGAATCAAAACCATAACCTCTCACTATCACGCATGGTTTGTGTTTGCGCTTAATGATGATTGTTATGTCAAGCATCACAATTTTTATTGTTTATACTTGTGCTTAGGGATTTCAACATCCCTAGCCCCGAGCATTTCACCGTGTCCTAACCAGTCAAAGCGACAAGCCATAAAAGTTACAGTATTTCTTCCTTGTAAATCAAATTTTGCAGCTTAAGAAGAGGTGTTCTATTACTTTTAAGTATCATACTTACAATTTTGGCCTGTCAGATGATAAAATTGGAAAAAAGGTCATTGAAAGACCATATCTAGAGACCAGAATATCATGGAGATTTTTAGGTGGCAACTTGATCCAGTAGGCAACTACCCAGGGGCCAGATTCACACGTGTTCTAAAATATTTCCTCAAGAGTATCTTGTTTTTCTAAAGAATAAAATGACAGACTTATGGTGATTTCAGATTGTATGGGGGTTCTTGCCGAAGACTCTCTCATCAACTCAATGCCATCGTTTTCCACTGCTTGCAGATTACTGTAAGAATCAAAATAAGCGCACGTACTATTTTTGTTGTGACTGGCTTGGCGAGCGATCAGTGTCACTATTTTTAATGTGCCTTGTTTAAATAGTTCTTTTTAAATAACCTGTCTCAAGATGGACATGCTATTGCTTTCATTTGCCCTCCGTCTTTCTGTGTATGTGCTGAATGCTGCTGAAAATTCTGCCGTAATTTAATCAAATTAAAAAAAGAGATCCCTATTTGACTCATCCGTTCAGCAAAAAATTTGTTGCACATAATCATGACCGTTCATTGTTTACATAATCAATCATTGGTGTCACTTAAGATCACTCGTGCACACCACTAGGAATAGTAATATGTATTATATGGGTCTGTTACATCCTTATGTTGTTTTTTCTCTCCCCGCTTCACACTTTAGATTAGGGTCCAATTCTCACTATTACCTCACTATCAACTATGACTTTTGCCTGAATAAACTCCTAATTACTGCTTATTAATAGTTAGCAAGGTAGTTGTTAAGTTTAGGTATTGGGTAGGATTAAGGGATGTAGAATATGGTCATGCATAAGGCAATAATATGTGCTTTATACGTACTAATAAACAGGCAATATCCTAGTAATAAGCAATTAGTGAGAATTGGACCCTAAACTAAATTGTTACCTTTATATGTAGCTAGTGTTATGTTGTAATGATTACAACAACAATTGAAACAACCCAATACATTCATTAAACATCTTACCTTTTGGAATTTAAAACAAGTTGGAGGTTATCCAACCTAGTTAATTACAATGGTTTTTCAGAACTTTTTATGAATACAAATTCTTTCTAAGAACCACTCAGAACATCTTAGCAACCCCAAAGCAAGACCCTGGCTAAGTGACGATGGCATTTACATGAGCAAGCAACCCTCTCGTGTTCTTCAGAAAATGTTCAACTCTATTTTCAAAACAAGAATATCCTTGTGATTCAAAACAATACCTCACTGTCATAGCACGACATTTTCTTTGCTCTTTTTTTCGGTTTTGTTTCCTTACCCGGCTCAGTGCCGACCGAGGCACACACCCAAGCATTGTTTTCATAACCTGCTGTGCCTGACTGAGTCATCCATTGTCCAGCATTCAAGACACAGACACTACTGTTCACAATGGAGGTGAGCTTCTAAAGGACAGAAGCCTGATATACCCCCTGTTTTCCTTGCAGCAGAGACTCTGCCAGGCGATATCCCTCTCCTGTGGTCTCCCACGATTCATTTTTAAGTGTACAACTGTTGAATTCTCCTGTCGTCGCTCCTGTCATTCAGCCCCTCTGCCATTTTCAGCAATTAGTCTCACACAAGGAGGTCTGTCGCAGTCAGTGCACATCCTATGATGCCTGGCTTTTTAAGTGTCACCCATCAACCCATTTGTCTAGCTTTGTCTCAGCTCTGTCTGTTTGACCCTGAGGGCTTAAAGATGCTGCGCTTTTTACCCTGAAGTGTCGAAAATGTCAAACATTTAACTGAACCACCTGGGTCACTTTACGGGCTTAAACTAAATGCATGTTTGTAGGGTTTTTACATTTTCTGAAGAATATGTGAGTGCTGCTTGCCCATGCAGATGCTGCTGCTGTTGTTTGCTAAGGCATTGGTATGCAGTTGCTAGGAAGTTCTGGGTGGTTGCCTACTGGCCCAAGTGGAAAGAGCCCAATTCCCAAGTCTCTATGAAATTCTGGTCCCCAGTCTGGGTTTTGTTTTTCCCACATGATTTGTCTGCTAAAATTGAAAGGCGAAAACAGTCACATCAAAATTGGTTACTAAGTGTTATATGTGTTTGTTCGAATTCCTGATTGTAAGTAAGAGCAATAACAATAGAGATGCTAGACACCATTAGCAAGATTGTTAAAGGAGTCATGAATGGAAAAAAGGTTTCACTGATTTTTTGACACACACTGCCGGTCAAAAATGTAAAATTATTTTGAAAGGTCTCTTATCATCACTAAGGCTGACGGCATTTATTTAATGAAAAAACAAAGTAGACTGTAGTCCTTAAAGTCCCACTCCGATCAAATTTTGAGCTATTTTTAAACATTCCCAGTGGTCTTTAAACTATGATTATGCCATTTTTAGCCAGAATCACAAAACCTGTGCCGTTTTCTGGGACTTCACTTCAGCAGAGCTGCAGTAGCTCATTAGCAATTCGCCTCTGCGTTGTGGGCGGAGCCGTTGGCACGGAGACGACCCGCCGCCCGTTGCTGAGAGCTCTGTCTCTCCCGCTAGCTTACACCCCCAATACCGGTGGGGCAACAGTATTATATACACGTTAATTATTATTATCCGAAGTTAATCAAAGTTATCACCGATCACCGATCATTATTTCACTCCAAGACGTCGCGTGTGGAGACGCCCAGTGGAGTTACTACGTCACAACTCCAGTCTATTTTAGCCGGCATTTTAGCGTCTGCTACTGATTCACAGCCATTTGAATGCAGAAATACTCAGAAATACAACTTTGAGCTTATTTTTCTCAAGATATGTCCTCTAACATCAGAAAAATGCCACAAGAACATGTTAACACCTAGAAAAACATTATTTTCATCGGAGTGGGTCTTTAAAGACTTTTTTGTTTGAAAAGAGACGCATGTCTCTTTAAAAGGTGTTTTTAAACCAGAACGCTAAAGACAGGGTAGAAAATGGCCTTTAATTACACAATTATGACTTTAGTTTTTGATGTAAAAATCCTACTAATATTATAAGTGCACATCAGGAAACATTATAAAATAATTTTGAGAAATGCAGTGACTTCATTGTCCTGTTGGTATTGTGTTCCCATCTGGAATAATTCGATTTTTCATATCAATGATGTGAAATGTTGTCTCGCTCTACTTCCTGTTTCAGGTCACTACAGACCTCAGGCAGAAGTGCACAGACTCCCACACAGGCACCTCTGCCTCGGCCCCACTGGCGGCAGGAATCATCGCCCTCGCCCTTGAGGCCAAGTAAGTCTTCCGAAGCATGTTTGTTCTGTCCTCGAGCGAGGTCATATTTCTTCCAGCTCTTTGAGTGACCGGAGGCTTTTAAAATAAAATGGTTACTGGCTAGGTTGGCAGACTGGAATTAACCTTCAAATTCTCATTTGGATCAAATGCATGCATTGAGCGGCAGTTTTTATTTATATAGCTTTAAATGAATTCACCAGCAACAATATAACCTTTATGACTCTACCTGTAGCTATCAGTGACCTTTATAAAAGGGCAGAAGAGATTATCTTGGAGAGCTGCGAAGCATGCAGGCAGTTTTGAGTTTCGTTCCACCATGTATCTCACGTTTGAAAGGCACTAACAGTTTGACTTCTCTCTGCAGTAAAAACCTAACCTGGAGAGACATGCAGCATCTGGTTGTGAGGACGTCAAACCCTGCCCACCTCACCACCAATGACTGGAAGATAAATGGAGTGGGTCGCCGAGGTAAAAGCCCATCACGTTGCTTTTCGTTGCTCCCTCCCTTTTCCTTTCCCTGCGGTGTTTCTTTCCACTTTCCAGCTGCTTGAACGTTTTGTGATGTAATCGATAACATTATCATTGGCTGCACCAATCAGCAAACCGCTCTGGATCTCTTAATGATATCAGCCTCTTTAATTCACCTCTTTACTTATAATGTCAGTCTTTTAAACTGCCTTTATAGTTACTTTCAACAGTATTGATTTTTTCTCTCTATCCTACAGTAAGCCATTCTTATGGATACGGTCTGCTGGATGCTGGGGCTATAGTGTCTCTGGCAAAGAACTGGACAAATGTTGGACCTCAGCAGAAGTGTGTCCTTTCCCTGGTGTCTGAGCCCATGTAGGTTAAACCCTCCATACTAGATCACAGGCTTAAAGGGGTTGGTTCACCAAAAAAGGGCAATTCTGTCATCATTTTCTCACCTTCATGTTCATCCAAACCCATAGGAGATTTTAGACTGAATGTTCACTCTGCTGTTTTCCATCCAGTGAACTCATCCAGTAAACAAAAACACCATAAAGTAGCTTAATGGCTTAAGGGGAGATACGGCAGGCAATTTTTTTTTTTTTTTTTTTTTTTTTTTTCACTGGTCAATTTTGGGCTATTTGTCTTCAAAAACATGTCTTCTTTCAGACTTGTGGTGAAAACAAGTCCAAAATACACATTTAGGTCTTTATTTTGCTACACTTTGTCTTTTTGCGTCTGTAGATTTCTCCTAAATTCAACAAAACTTGGCGTTCTAAATCAGCATGCTGCTCCGCGATCGCTGTCTTCACCCTGTCGTCACATATACCGTTGGAAAGCGCTCTCTCTCTCTTGTACAATGTTGTCGGATCCAAATATGGTAATTTCCTTTTTTATCAGCAACCAATCGTGAAGGTACAATGGGGCATTTAACCCTAAAAGCGAAATCTCATTGGCTGATGTCAATTCTTTAAAGGCCGTTTTCTCAAAATGGGTTTTTTCTCATACTCTGAGCCAAAAACCTCACTTCAGCAAAAACGGGGCAAAAAATATTTTTTTTATGGCTGTTGACAGTTTTTTCTGATTAATTGAGTGATAAAAAGAGATATCCAAAATTCCCTCTGTAAAAACTTTTGACTCTAATGTCAACAAAATGAAGCAAGAATTTAGAATTATGCAAATTAGTGCATATAATTTGCATATTTAAACATAAATATTCTAAAAACTTGTTATACAAAAGATATTTGTCTTAATGTCAGTAATCAACTAGGGAAGTTTCATGCTGATATCTATTAGTTAATTATTTTTTCCTATTCACCTGGGGTGTCTCCCCTTAAAACAAGCTTAATATGACTTGGAGTTTGACAGCCTTAGTCATTGCATAGTTAAAGGCCTGATTTTTGTGATGCAGAAAATGCAGACGGAATCTCTGAAATATAGTCTTAAAAATTGTGTTGTATTTCATAGAATTTGAAATATTTTAAATGATGTTAATCAAAAGCACGGCTATTTAATCATTGCTAAATAAAAGTTCTTTTTTTTAATTGTGACTCCAAACTTTTGAATGGTAGTGTTTATGAAAGATATGATTTAAAATATATATATATATTTTCCAGTTGCAATCAAAATTATTCAACCCCCAGTGCAAATCAGGTTTATTGGCAAAATGTACAGACTTTCAGCTGTTTGCAATGAACAAATCAGACAAAAGCAATTGAAATAGCTCAACACAACAAATGTTTCAAGTGGTTTCCCCAAGCTCAACTGAAAATGCAACTTTTAATGATTTCTAATAATTCTGGGGGAAAAAATGAGTCCTGAATTACAAACAGCGGTGTGAACGTTCTGCAAACCTAAAAACTCATTTGGTCTTCCACGGATGGAAGTCAGCTGTACAGGTTTGAAACAACATAAGGGTGAATAAATTATGACAATTTTCATTTTTGTGTGAACTAAACCCGGCATACTAGATGAAACTGCTTTCTTAATTGATTCTACACTAACATGTGGCAAACTGAGGTTCTTTAGCGCACACAACTGGGATGATGTTTTAAATTTAGTGCTACTAAAAAGGTCATGGAGTGCAAGAGGAAACAGGAATAAGAAACGAGGTGGGAGCGAAACATCACTTTTGATGGTCTATTACATTTAAATTTAGAGCTGGGCAACTTGAATGATGCTTCAATGCATGAAGCATTTCCACTTCCTGCAGAACATGTTTATAAGAGGTAATGACTTGCAGATAAGCTTGTTACATCCACGTTCGTCACACCATCACTGCTGACATCTTGGAACTCAAGACGGACCCATGAAGTGCTTCTTCTCCAATCTCGTCCTCTCACTCAGCGTATCATGTCTGTCTCTAAAAATGCACCCTCTTTTTATCCCTTCTCCCAGTTATCCTTTATGGTTCACCAATGTTACGGAAAGATCAAGGGGTTTTGGAGCAAAGCCCAATTTAACATGCTGGTTGCAGAAGTCACAGAGCAAAGTGATTACGGGCTGCCTCACTTTGGCTCTGCCGTACGTTTCTACATTTTTCTGCTCGCAACAACTCCGACTTGAAGCCTTGCACAGAGGGGGTTTACGCTTCATTCCTCATGGACTTGTCAGAGGCTGTAGCCTGTCGTTCTCTCTCTTGATTTAAGCTCTTCTTCCTGTGTTACCATGTCTCTGGTGAGCAGGGCCGAGCCACTCTAAGCTCCTTACAGGATTGGGCTTAGAGTGCCAAAAGCCTACTGGCTCCTGTAGCGTTCATTGGTGGCACAAGTCTTAACCTGGCGAGACTTTTCTGATGTACCAGGAATGTGTTTTGAACCCTTCAATGTTGTAGACAAGGTTTGATACAGCATAACACTCCTGATTCAGTAAGATATTTATTTGTATAATTTTATTTAGTGTTTAGCGGGCGGGGGGCTTACCGGTATTAAAAAATATATAGTTGCTTGTTAGGAGAATCTGACAAGCAACTTTTGTTTCTTTACACTTATGGTCACTAAAAGTAGATATATATGGTTTAAGTTAATTTTATTATAAATATGTGGCTGGCTGTTTTACAGCTCCCCGTTAGTGCTCTTGTCTTTTTCTCCAAACCTATTCTGCGGAGGATTGTGTGTGCCCTCCCACTTTGTAGCAATTTGCACCAAATTTTTAATTTTTGTAAATTAACTTCTGTTTGTGCTTTTCAAACTCAGTGGTTTCAGTTTAATATGTTGCAGGCTCATTTATTGATAATAAATAATTGATGATAACATTGATGATGATATAATAATATTGGGCTTGTTGGGCTTTATTTTGATGCTGCGGTTGCGTATTTGTTTTGCGAGAGTTGGCAACACTGACCATGACTGATGCATTGCATGCGTTACAGAAGTGCAAGTCAAAAATTACTGCATTTAGACCTTCAAAGATAAAACGGGTCGTTAACAAGTCCAGGTGAATAGACCATTGTGCTGCTATGCATTAGGGGTGGTGTGCGAATGGGGCGTTTGCAAGATTGTTCAAAAGTATGCTTTATTTTTGTATTTCCGCTAAATGCCACTAGTATCGCAGAAATTACATACTTCACCTTTAACATGTCAATTGCTGGTGGTGTGCGTTTGGGAAATAAACACCTATTGGTCCAAACAATTTTTGTAAATTTGTTAAAGGTTCATGCAAAGTAATAGTCTCTTAATGGATTTCAGTGAACCCCAGGGTAACTTACTATTTTGAATCAAGTGGCTTTGCATGAAGATGTGGGCTATTGCTTTTATAAGCTGTTGAACTAACAGTTTTCACCTGCTGGATGATAAATACAAATATATAAATTTATATAAATATAAATGATAAATGTTGTGACTGTTTACAGCTATATGGTGGTTCTTGGTAGATAATTTTTTGATGATCCTACACTGAACTTACAAAAGTTTGATGTCAGTAAGATTAAAGAAATTAATACTTTTATTCATTGGCTGTATTAATTAATTGCATTAAATTGATCAAAAATGACTGGATTTTTTGTAATGATGTAAAAGTCATATAAATCTGTTCTTAAGAACTTTGTATTCATCAAAGAATCCTGGGAAAAAAAAGTTTCCAGAAAAATATTAAGCAGCACAAATAAATAAATAAAATAAAATAAATGCAGCTTTGGTGAGCATAAGAGACTACTTTCAAAAATCTTACCGACCCCAAACTTTTGGCCAACAGTGTATGATACATGCATAACTATTTGTATTTAAAAGTATAACTTTCGGGGTTTTTTAACAGTTCTTGAACATGTTTTGCTTAATGACTTTAATCCTACTATTTGCCTGTTTTTAGGAATATTGGAAGTAATTTGGTGATCACAAAAATCGTGGATGCATGTACTGGAACGGCCAACTTTGTGAGCTCATTAGAGCATGCTCAAGCCCAGCTCACCCTGTCCTACAACCGCCGAGGGAATCTGGCCATCTACCTGATCAGCCCACAGGGCACCCGCTCCACACTGCTTGCACCCAGGTTAGCCACTGAAACATCCACTCACATAATACTTACATATAATATTGATCTGTGCTGTGAGCAGCTTCACACAGTCTACCATTCTCTCTCTCACAGACTTCACGATTACTCCTCTGAGGGCTTCAATGACTGGGCTTTCATGACCACCCACTCCTGGGATGAAGATCCTCGTGGAGAATGGACGCTGGAGATCGAGAATGTGGCTGGAACCACCGACTATGGTAACATCTCGTCCATCTATTTTGCATTTATGCTCTTGATGCATTGAGCTATGGTGCTGCTCATACAAGAGTCAAATCCAGCATATTTTATTTGGACCTCCAACATGCCCTGATGTCACTTTTCCCCCAATGTTTTCCAGTCTCTTTTCTACTATATACAGGTCCTTCTCAAAAAAATTAGCATATTGTGATAAAGTTCATTATTTTCCATAATGTAATGATAAAAATTAAACTTTCAGATATTTTAGATTCATTGCACACCAATTGAAATATTTCAGGTCTTTTATTGTTTTAATACTGATGATTTTGGCATACAGCTCATGAAAACCCAAAATTCCTGTCTCAAAAAATTAGCATATTTCATCCGACCAATAAAAGAAGTGTTTTTAATACAAAAAAAAAGTCAACCTTCAAATAATTGTTCAATTATGCACTCAATAGTCAATACTTGGTCGGGAATCCTTTTGCAGAAATGACTGCTTCAATGTGGCGTGGCATGGAGGCAATCAGCCTGTGGCACTGCTGAGGTGTTATGGAGGCCCAGGATGCTTCGATAGCGGCCTTAAGCTCATCCAGAGTGTTGGGTCTTGCGTCTCTCAACTTTCTCTTCACAATATCCCACAGATTCTCTATGGGGTTCAGGTCAGGAGAGCTGGCAGGCCAATTGAGCACAGTAATACCATGGTCAGTAAACCATTTACCAGTGGTTTTGGCACTGTGAGCAGGTGTCAGGTCGTGCTGAAAAATGAAATCTTCATCTCCATAAAGCTTTTCAGCAGATGGAAGCATGAAGTGCTCCAAAATCTCCTGATAGCTAGCTGCATTGACCCTGCCCTTGATAAAACACAGTGCACCAACACCAGCAGCTGACATGGCACCCCAGACCATCACTGACAGTGGGTACTCGACACTGGACTTCAGGCATTTTGGCATTTCCTTCTCCCTAGTCTTCCTCCAGACTCTGGCACCGTGATTTCCGAATGACATGCAAAACTGAGCAACAGTCCAGTGCTGCTTCTCTGTAGCCCAGGTCAGGCGCTTCTGCCGCTGTTTCTGGTTCAAAAGTGGCTTGACCTGGGGAATGCGGCACCTGTAGCCCATTTCCTGCACACGCCTGTGCACGGTGGCTCTGGATGTTTCTACTCCATACTCAGTCCACTGCTTCCGCAGGTCCCCCAAGGTCTGGAATCGGTCCTTCTCCACAATCTTCCTCAGGGTCCGGTCACCTCTTCTCGTTGTGCAGCGTTTTTTGCCACACTTTTTCCTTCCCACAGACTTTTCACTGAGGTGCCTTGATACAGCACTCTGGGAACAGCATATTTGTTCAGAAATTTCTTTCTGTCTTACCCTCTTGCTTGAGGGTGTCAATGATGGCCTTCTGGACAGCAGTCAGGTCGGCAGTCTTACCCATGATTGCTGTTTTGAGTAATGAAACAGGCTGGGAGTTTTTAAAAGCCTCAGGAATCTTTTGCAGGTGTTTAGAGTTAATTAGTTGATTCAGATGATTAGGTTAATAGCTCGTTTAGATACCCATTTCATGATATGCTAATTTTTTGAGACAGGAATTTGGGGTTTTCATGAGCTGTATGCCAAAATCATCAGTATTAAAACAATAAAAGACCTGAAATATTTCAGTTGGTGTGCAATGAATCTAAAATATATGAAAGTTTAATTTTTATCATTACATTATGGAAAATAATGAACTTTATCACAATATGCTCATTTTTTTAGAAGGACCTGTACTTCTCTACTAATAAAAAAAACATGCCAAAACTACAATAAAAATGATAGTAAAAATAAAATAAAACAAAAATTATAATGAAAAAGATAATAAAATGAAAAAGATAATACAAATAAAATAAAACAAAATTTATAATTAAAAAGATAAATAAAAAATAAAAAGCATAATCGTCCAAATAAAAAAGTATTTTTTTATGTCTCCCAGTGCTCCGCATTTCACAGAAGTGTAGGGACGGGAGTATCTTCTCTCCAAATCCGCCTGATTTGCCCAATCCTGTTTTCTTCCTCTTTTATGTCACAGTCAATTTGTCTTCCTTCACCACACCCTGCAGTAAATCTGATTAATTAAATCTAGCTAAGTAAATCAGAGGACTGAGTTTTTCCTCCCTCTCCCACTATCACACTCTCCAGCCGCCCCTGAACGCTGTAAATATAGAGCGACTTCCAGCCAAACCCCATTCTTTTGTCCTGCCCAGACACTAACATAACTGCTTTATATCTGGATTGAACGGACCATCAGTCCAGTGCATTACCTAGTCCATTTCTCTTTGTTGCTTTAAGAATTTACAGAGCTACTGACTTTATTGGACTATAGAGACTAAATGGGCCATCAATCTAATGCATGTCGAAGCGATGCGGCACCACTGTTACTGAACGATGATGATTTGTGATGATCAGATTTGTATCTTCTGAGTAATTCATGTTAGTGGGCCCAAAATAAGGCTATAGGTACAGATGATAATCTACAATCAGACATTATTTCAAAATAAAATGGTGTTTTTCTATAAGAAGGGTTATTGAATAATTGAATACAAGTGTAGAATAGTAATGGAGTTTATTTTGCATTTTAATAATTTTGTTATTAAGACATGGCTACTTCAGTAGATAAATAAATATGGCTATTACAATTTAATATTCCAGAAAACCCTATGTTATTCCTATATTATGTATTAGAATCTTAATTCGAATTAAAGCTGCAAGTGGCGATGAAAGTGCCCTGGCACCAGGGCCACCACCACCCTGGCTTTAGGAAAACAGAGCACGGTGGGCAAATATGCATTTAAGTAGGTAAATATAGGAGGACTACGTAAAAATCGCTTGTATTTTACCACACTTCCTGCTGCCAGCTGGTGGCGCAATGACTAGAACAAAATCTTGGCATGTAGATGTCTTCAGGCTGGGACTCTTATCAAACATGTGAAGTTTGGGTTACAACAACTTATTTTATTGCTTTAATAGCATGCTTTATCACTTAGCTAAGTGTTGCTGGCATGTTTTAGCATTTTGCTAAAGGTCTTATTAAACATGTGAAGTTTGGGGCAAATTGGACATTGTTTTCCGGAGTTACAGCAACTTCCTGTTTCATGGCGAAACATTGAAGTTTGTCAGGCCGCCAGGGACACGCCCTTTGACAAAAGCTCAAGATCTTCACAATTTAACATCGCAAAGGCCTTAAGATTACACTTACCTAATTTGAAGATGATCCGATTAAAACTGTAGAAGGAGTTTGGTAAAGTACGACGCCTGAAAATGGCAAAAACTGCATAATAATCGCAGAGGAAATTCAAAATGGCTGACTTTCTGTTGCGTTTAATTTTTTTTAGGTATTGAGACATTATATGTAGGTACCGAATTGCGAAACGTAGCATGAGGGGCGCTTCTTTGAAATGATATAGGTGGTGCTATCGAGTCATTTTGCCAAACCCATATCAGATGTAAATTTTCGCCAGTTCTGACGCGTTTGCAGTTTCGTGAGTTTTCATGAGTTCACGAGCATGTTTAGGCCCTCAAAAATGCGAATCATTTTGGAGAAGAAGAAGAAACAGAGCAATTCCAAGAGGGTCCTTGCAGACATGATGATTAACAAATGTCAACTCTTATCATTTTGTGAGTTTCTTGTGTACACGAATCAGACTCTCTTTCTGTCTGTTTTAGGCACTCTGACTCAGTTCACACTGGTTCTCTATGGCACGGCTTCTAGTTTATCCGGCCCTTCAACAGCTGACTCCAGCCAGACCGCTGACAGCAGCTGCAAAACCTACGACCTCAGTCAGATCTGCACAGGTAAGTGTAAAAGATGGTGAAAGTGCGCCCCCTGTCAACTACTAGTGGGATTTACTAGCTTTCCTCTAACTCCAGATAGTTTTCAGGTGCAGACTTGATTTGTCAGAATGGTATGATGATACACCTTCTGTAGTACATTATGCACATTTTCATGCATGAAACACCTAGATGGCCTATTGCATTTGCAAAGATGTGCAGTAAAGTACACTGCACGTAATCTTGACTATTTTATTTGCCATCCAAAACATTTAGACATTTTACACAAAATGTAATTTAAAAAAATATATTTCTTGCAATGCATTGTCATGCAACAACAATGTAGCATGCTACTGTTTGAAATGTTTATCACTGTGCAATTCCTTTAGTTTCACATGCTTTTTTTAAGAAATAGAAGGCAGTATAAAGTGTATACTGCTCAGTATGCATTAAGCTGGTTTTCCATTAGGAACACAACATTTAATGTTGTTGAAACATCAGACTAGTTGTGTGTCGACTAGGGTTTTGTCCATTAAGATGTCCATAAGACTTTTTCATAAGATTCAGCAAGGATTCTTGCTTCTTTCTTGAGCAGCAAATCAGCATATTAGAATGATTTCTGAAGGATCATGTGACACTGAAGACAGGAGTAATCATGTTGAAAATTCAGCTTCACATCACAGGAATAAATTACATTTGAAAACATTAAAATAGAAAAATGGCCGTTTTAAACTAATAATATTTCACAATATACTGATTTTATTTTATTGTTGATCAAATGAATGCAGCCTTAGTGAGCTTATGGGACTTTTGAATGCTAGTCTGTTTTTACAAAATGTTTCTACTAATGAATTAATAAATAATGGGTTGTAAATGTGACCCTATCTCCCCAATAATTTAATGCTTTAAAAATAAAGCTATAAACTTTACAGCTGTTTTTATAGGTCCCTTTTGCTTGTCTTGAGTGAGTTGTGCTGGTCATGTCTTAGCTGTTAAATTGTGTGTTCATAACTCCATCCTGGAGTTAGTTCACAGTGCCAGCTGCATTGGCAGCCGTGTTCAAGGCAGCTGTCCAGTTTAGCCTGTGGCCATGCCCCTCATGTGGCCACTCACTGCCAGCTCATTCTTACACACACACACACAAACACTTACTTGACCCTACCACTTCTCTTTCAGCAGTTTTCCTCCTTCATCAGCTCTTTCCTTTTTCTCTCCTTTGCCATCTCCTCCTCTCCTGTCCTTCTCTAAATGATGCAACCCTAAAAGGGCCTTATGAATGCTGAAAAGATAGTCTTTGTGTACTGTGATGACCAGAGGAGTATGTAGTTAATTTCTTTCCAAAAATCAGATTCTTAAAGCCTGTTTACACTTAGTGTAATGCAGTTTAGACTTTTATTCAACTTGGCTTATTTCGGCCAAGAACTGCCCTCTTAAACCTGAAGAGACCGTCTGACCGACGCGTAGAGTAACCAGTGGCAGTTTTTTGCGTGTCATATAATAACGGGTTTATCTGCAATAATGCCCCAGCTTTGACAAAACACATTCTGTATAAAGCACTCTTTGACAGTAGTGTTAATTTAATCAGCTATTTATTAGTGTCAGTCCTGTGTCAAATGTCTTTTTTAGTTTTTATCATAGCCGACTAAATGTCTGAATATTTTAGTCTAGTTTTAATCAATGAAAACTTGGTCACATTTTCACAATTATTTCTCTCAAAATTAAAATCGCAATGATTGTTTTCATTTGAGATTTTTTTTTTTTTTTTTTTACATATTAAATGTATTTATTTATTTTTGACAAATTTTTAATTTTCATCATTCGTCAAGTTGATTTTCTGTGAAAACAACAATACAGCTTAAACTTGTATTCAACCCAGAACAATTTTATGCCTCTACTGAAGCTTTTATAAATGATTAAAGTTTACTTCCTCCTCATGCAGAGTGCAACCCCGGGTTCTACATGTACCAGAAGGGCTGTGTGAGAGACTGTCCAGCCGGATTCACCCCTGGCACCCGTTCCGTCTTCCTCCCCAACAATGAGGTGTCGCCCGTCCTCCACCCCACCTGCCTGCCCTGCCACCCCGTCTGTCTCACCTGCAGCGCCCCCGGGTCTCAGGACTGCCTCTCCTGCCCACCTCACAGCCACCTGGACGCCGTCACCGGCTCCTGTCTGCATCAGAACCAGATCATGCGCGAGTCTCCGGACGGCGGACTGTTTCAGATGCAAGGTGACGGCTCGTCCCCGAAAAACCACGCCGAGCTCGCCTCTCGCCTGCCTGTTACCGTGGCGGTGCTCAGCTGTGCCTTCATCGTGGCTACGTTTGTGGGTGTGTTCAGCTTGCTGCAGATACACACGCGCAACCAGAACAAACTGCAATCTGCCGAAGTGGGGCCGGGATCCGGTTTACTGGTCGGGTTCGGCTTGAACCGCACCGCAGTTGCCTACAAAGGCATCCCAAACGTTTGGCGGGAGGACGAGGGCAATACCGAGTCTGAGAATGAGGAATTCGAGATCCACAACGAGAGGACTGCCTTCATCAAAACACAAAGTGCTCTTTAACTACGTTCCTCCCCTCTCTAGCCTCTACTGCACTGTTGTCTCTCTCTCCCTTTTTTTAATGTGTTTTCATTCTGGGGTTCGTCTGAACATATCACATTTTTGGGGCATTTTGGTTTGTTTTTCGCACCTGTCTTAGTTACATGAGCCACGATTCACCTGGGCGTTGACCCCTCGGTGCCTCAACATGGAAAGCTTCCAAACGCAAGCGACGGGGACGAGTCGAAACTACAATAAACATGACTATTGTTTGGTCTCTTCCTCCTGCCTAGTGAGATTTAAAGAAAAAATAAGATTTGAAATATTTGCATACGAGAAAATCAAAGCTTTTCAGTGAGTGTGTGAGTGAGTGAGTGAGTGAAACTACGTTTATATGAAGTCAGTCAGTGCTGCAGTGGGTCGGATCCACTGGCTTTGCGCAGGGAGCCTTTTAGAAGAACATATCACTAGTTCTACATGGTCAGAGATGGAGAGGAGAGCAGCATGTTGTCTTACACATATTTATAGAGCTTACTACTCCCCCTAGAGCATCTGCATTGCTGAATTCATGATTTTTCTTTTATGTAGGCTGTTTAGTGGAATACTTCTCCAAAAGATAAAACCTCTGTCATTATTTGCTAACTTTTTAACCCTCATGTCATTGCAAACCTGCATGACTTTTTGTCAAAGATCTAAATGCTTTGTGTCCGTATCACCAAAATATAATGGGGGACTAGGGCTTTTCAATCTCTAAAATGACATTACAATTGTTTATTGAAGTAAAGTCAAAAAGTGCTCTAGTATATTTGTATAAATTAAATTTGGGTGATTGGGGCCATTCACGTGTGTACCATAAAAGTGTTTTTTTTTTTCCGATCTCTGCACTATATTCTCAAATGTCATTCACTTCAAATTTGGCTCATCAAAATCATGACGTCAAAACTTTATATTATTTGATATATCATATTTAAATTAAACATGAGCAGCAGGAATGGCATTTGAAGCAATGTGCAGTAGAATATTATCAGCAAATACCGACTTAAATTTCAAAATAATTTCCTCATGTAAAATTATTATGATATCAAAAGGCTCTTTTTTTGATGCACGACAGCCTCTATCTTTGTTTATTTTGTGAAAAATTTGCTCTGGTGATTCTACAAAATGACTTTTGTGTTTTATTTTAGCAAGATCTCATGCAGGTTTGAAGAGACATGAGTAAGTGAATATGGTAAATATTTAGATTTTTGTGTGAGATATTGCGCTCTTTGACTGTATGTAGGGAAGAAACTCTGATGTCGGCCAGCCTCTCCGAGCCAATTTAATTCTGTCCTCCAGTCAAGGGTTTGAAACACTAGAAAAGGTCTTTGCTGAAGGCGCATCCTGAAAGGACCTGGCTTCTGTTTTGTCATGTTATAGTGATTATATATAGAGATGTTCGAGGTTGTGTTCTGCACAGTATGGGTGTCTTTTTGAAATAAATCAGAGAAAGGGCTCTAATGACTACCAGATATCAGTTAGGATTGGTTCGTTTTATATGCTCAACAGTCACCTCATGAGGTCATTTTCTTTGCTTACTACTGTTTATTATTAGTCATTTGCTTGGCCTTGTCAGCTCATCTGCAACTTTCCAGGAATATAGTAGTTGTTTTTCTGAATCACATATGCAGTATCTTTACGAAATGACAATGTTATCTATCAAATCTGTGCAATAGAGACCCAACAGGGTTATGCGATGTTATCCTGATGGAGTTGGAGTCCGGCTTCCTTTTATCATATATCATTTCACAGCTGTGGCCAGTCCACAAACGACTTGCACCATCCTCAGCCTTGCCTTCGTTTAGTTGAGTAGGTTCACCGATTTTAAATTTTTGTTTTGTTTTACACTATCGATGCATCAGCACAGCTCATCTTACCTTACAATGAAATGTCTTGTTTATCTACACACTCATAGTACAAGGTCTGAAAATCAACTGAACATTTCAACTTCAAGGCCGTTAAATAACGTGAGATTTTACAATAATGTTGACCCCGCTGAGCTCTTTCACCCCCTTGCAGTAATGATTTGGTGTTGTGTGTTTTGGAAAGCCTTAAAGTGTGCAAAGGCATGACCAAAGACCACCGGATAAAAATCTGCTTGCCTTAGAGTGATAGCATGACCTGAAAAAAACTCAAACTTTTTTTTGAGGTTAGTCGCAGTTTTAAATTGGGTCACTGGTTTGACCATACACATTTAGGAAATGCTTCGAATAGGCTGTTGAATGACAAATTTAAGCAGGTAGGGTTTTGGTCAAAATGCTGGTGTTGTGACAACAGTTCTTGCATTAACCACGCGCAATATGCTTTCCCCGGATGGTGCAATGGTTGTGTTGTGCTTTAAGAGCGTGTGTGTGTGTGTGTGTGTGTGTTCAGACTCAACGAGAACTTTCTAGACTCATAGGATTATTTTCACCTTTTTTTTTGAAGAGTCAACTGATGCATGAAGATCCCCAAGTAGAAAACACCAATCATTTATATGACTACCTGAGACGGGACAACGATATAAAAAAAAATAAGGCCTATTTTTGTACTATATATGGTGCATTGTCATTTACATGTAATTTAAAGATTATTTTGCTCTTTTTATTTAATTGATGTCAATATGCGAATTAAAGATTATACAAAAAAAATAAAGATCTATGCAAACTTCATAATTTTTCTTTGTGAGCTCTTTATTGCATTTTCTGTCGGTCAGACAATCTCGCAGTCCACAGCTTTGGGAGTTTGTGTATGAACAAAGATTGTATAATAATAGTAGATGGCTAAATTGAAATGCTCTTGTCAAAGGTACATGTGGCATTTTAAAGGTTTCCAGAACTGCTTTGCTAAGACAGGTCTAGCATCCTGTTGAGGTTGAAGTGTGGCTTGCAATGTCTTCAAAGGGAGGATTTCTGTACAAATAAAAGTGTTAAAGAGATACTCCACTTTTTTTTGGAAATAGGCTCATTTTACAACTCCCCCAGAGTTAAACTGTTCAGTTTTACCGTTTTTGAATCCATTCAGCCGATCTCCGGTTCTGGCGGTACCACTTTTAGCATAGCTTAGCATACATCACTGAAGTGGACAAGACCATTAGCATTTCTCAAAAAAAAAAATGACCAAAGAGTTTCGATATTTTTGTACACTTCTCTGTGTACAAAAAAGTGGAGTATCCCTTTAAACAGAGAAGTGTACAACAATTTACTGACTGGTCAGCGCCTTGGCAATTATTTGAAACGTGATTGGAAAATCCAATGAAAATGAAGACAGAACAAAACATTTCAGACATTGCCAGTTTTGCAACAAAAGTGGACTTCCAGACGACTTCCCTCAGTTAGTACAATGTTACATCAGTGATGCAAAATGTGTGTAATCCTCAGCAAAACATGCTTACTGAAAAAAATGATTCATAGTCTTTTTTTTAACCAAAATATTAAATCATGACAGTGGTATGACCGCTAGGATTTTTATGTTGCTATCTGATGTGAGCATTTCTTATTAAATTAACTTGTAAAAGCTACTAACTTATATATATATATATATATATATATACATAATCCAAAAGTGAGTTCACCCCTCACATTTCAGCAAACATTTTAGTATATCTTCTCAAGGGACAATACTATAGAAATGAAACTTGGATATATTTTATAGTAGTCAATGTGCTGCTTGTATAGCAGTATATATTTACTGTCCTCTGAAAATAACTCAACACACAGCCATTATTGTCAAAAAGCTGGCAACAAAAGTGAGTACACCCTAAGTGAACATGTCAAAACTGTGTCCAGTGTCAATATTTTGTGTGAGCACCATTGTTATCTAGCACTGCCTTAATCCTTCAGCTTCCTCAGCAAGGCAGTTGTCATCTTGGCGGTGTGTTTGGGGTCGTTATCATGCCGTTTGGTCCAGTTTCTGAAGGGAGGGCATCATGTTCTGCTTCAGAATGTCACAGTACATGTTGGAATTGTAAGCCCGTCTAAATCGGTCCAATGGCGGTATCCGATAGAACGGGTGAAGGTATCTGCGTGTTACTGTCTTTTCCGCGTGGCAATTAGTTCCAATTAAACTTATCTGAGTCCATTTTATCACGACCTCCAATTTAGGTTAGAATCCCAATTGGTTGATGGCCATTTTTATAATAGTTTAGCAGCACATTTGATTCTTTTCAATTCTTTATTTATTTTACCCGTTGCTCACCAGTTTCGGTCACTAAACAGAGGTAGGCTAATTGCTACCTGAGATCGGTCGCATTCACGCTTACACAATCAAAGATACTTTGGTATAGCCCCCGTGGTTTTCCATACACTTGAATTTAAAGTAACGTTTACTTCAGGCAGAGGTATGGCCACTATATAAGCAGACCAACTTATAATGTCTTATAATAGCTTTGGATTGGCCATGCTGTGGTTTCCCACATACACATTCCCACGAGGTAAGACAACCACATTTGGTCAAGCAGCATTTTTGCTGTTCTAAATGGAAATTCACTTTTGTCTTTGCAAACCAAGTACACTTAAATTAGTGCCAAATATTAGTCGTCACTAATCTGATGCAGACTTGCGGTAACATATGAATCCGTTTAATCTACTAGGGAAAATAATTTCAGAGTCGGTCAGAATAAAATCAAATGTTTACAATTTATTATGTCAGGTAAATGTATCGTGCCAATTTCATAATCAGTTCAAAGATAATAAATGCAAACCATCAAATGGAATAAAGAGAAAATATGCGAACCTGACATTAGAAAATACATGATGCTCTAAACTCTCCACACCTTATTACCTTTTTGGTTTAGGCCTACTTCTGTGGGAATGAGACCTTTGCACCAGTCGCACTGAGACATTTCAAATGATACCAAACATGTATAATACTGTATGTATGATAATTGTTCATATTAAACCATATAGATTTTTGGGTGAAGGGAATGATATGTAAAGTGGGAGGTGATCAACTCAAGGTGTGATCGTGTCACGAATGGGGGTGGTAATATAGCAAGAGAGTTCAAATGTTAAAGGTTCTCTAAGCGATCCTGGGTGTCGTCACTTCTTGTTGACGTTCGAACTATTGTCAAACAAAACGGAGGCTAGCTAGACCCTCCCTCCTCCTCCTCATCCGCACACTAACCCCCCAAACCCTTCTTGTCGGTCATTGGCTGGAACAGTTTATGTTTCGTGGTGTGGGTAAGCCCAGTTTGTTTTTGTTGCTGTTTGTGGAGCCTGGGGTGTCTGCAGAGACCGCATTTTTTTACAGTGTGTTCAGGGGACAGGCAGCCAGCGGTTAGTGAGGAGATGTTTGCTGTATGTGACAAAAAAAAGTTTTAACCCTAAAAAACGTGTGACATCGCTTAGAGCACCTTTAATTTCCTTTGTTTTCTTCAGAGAGTATCCCTCTCTTCCAGTAATTCCAGTTTCTCCAGTCTTACAGAATCCATGTTTCCCTTAATGAAGCACAGCTCCCCAGTACCAGCCGCACTCATGCAGCCCCAGACCATGATGCTACCACCATGCTTGACTGTATGCAAAACACAATTTTCTTGGAACTCCTTACCAGGGCACCGTCACACATGCTGGACACCATCTGAGCCAAACAAGTTTATCTTAGTCTCATCAGACCACAGGACATGGTTCCAGTATTTCATGCTCTTGGACAGGTTGCTTTCAGCAAACTGTTTTCGGGCTTTCTTGTGAGCCAGCTTCAGAAGAGGCTTCCTTATGGGATGACAGCCATGCAAACCGACTTTTTGCAGTGTGCGGCGTATGGTCTGGGCACTGACAAGCTGACCATCCGCTTCTGCAACCTCTAAAGCAATGCTGGCAGCACTCATGCGTCTGTTTTTTGAAGCAGCTTCTGCACCTGACGCACAGCACGAGGACTCAACTTCTTTGATTGACCCTTGCGAGGGCTGTTCCAAGTGGAACCCGTCTTGGACAACCTCTGTATGACCCTGGCCTGTACTGTAACTCAGTTTCAGGGTGTTACTAATCTTTTTACAGCCTAGGCCATCTTTGTAGAGAGCAACAATTCTAATTCTCAAATCCTTAGAGTTCTTTGCCATGAGGTGCCATGTTGAACATCCAGTGGTCAGTATGAGAGAATTGTACTCAAAGCACAAATTTTAACTGCTCTAATACAAGATACACAAATTTGTATGGACCTGTCAAGCAGACAAAAACATGAACATGATGAATAGGACATGTGGCTTTGTATGGTTAAACGACGTACAGCTATTAGCCTATCACTTAAGGTGTACTCACTTTTGTTGCCAGCTATAATGTCAATGTCAATGTAAATTTTATTTATATAGCACTACTAAACACAACACCAGTTGACCAGTGTGCTTTACATCAATACAAAAGACAAATATACAATACATTTCATCCTTAGCCATATGCTGAATCAAACAATATATTGACAATAATGGCTGTATGTTGAGTTATTTTCAGAGGACAGGACAGTATATATATATATATATATATATATATATATATATATATATATATATATATATATATATATATATATATATATATCCCCTAAATTTCATCCTCTTATTTTAAATCCAATATAGCCATGTGTATGCCATGAGCTTCTTAATTTTTTTCTGAATTTACTGTTCATGTTTATTAATACAGCCTACTGTATTAATACTACTTAGCAGCCTATGTAATATAATTAATATTTGATATTTTTTAATGCATGTACATGTTTAAATACATTCCTAGTAGACATGTTAGTATCTGTGTAACAGTGTTGTCGTGCATTAGAGGTTTAATCCTGTTGAATGCAGTGAGTCTACGTCCTGCTGCCGGACTGTCTTCCTGGTTTCAGTACCCTACAGTTTCAGTCAGCCTCCTCTGTCAACACAATAGCTCGTCTGTCGCCCTGCTCATTTCACCATCTCCAGTATTTAGCGTTTCGACGCGCTCTTTTCTTCTCATCGCTTGATTATAATGGATAATTACGTGTTCCGGTCGCTCTGACAGGACGTTTTACTGCGCCAGACACATCTGAGGTGAGAATTCACACAATTTCAGGTCTCGACAATGAATTATTCGGAGCTCTAGTGTTACATAATCGATTTATTTTAAGAATATATATGTTTGTCTGATTTAAGAGCATCATTATAAGATAATGTTTTTGTAATGTTTCATTGACCGACATAACAGAAGACGCTTCGGTGACGTCACGGCGACATCCCCTTCACACAATAAACGAATTATTTTACAGCTCTATTTATGTAATATATTTTTAATAGAGTTCTTTCTTTAGCTAGTTCACCTTTAAACATTCTTCTTACTATAAGTAACTTTGCAACTACATGTCTCTCAACTCTCATTCATTTGCAACTACATGTCCACTTATTCAGAGGCTATCTCAAAGTATAAGTAGATAAGTTACACAAGACTTAGAATGTCTAAAGTGGACTATCGAAATAAAGTGTCACATTTAATTGTTATAAAAGAGCGGGTTTTTTTATTATTATCTTTGAACATCTGAGTTATATGTTTTTTTAAACGGAATGTCTTCCATCTTACCAAATGTGACTGTCTAATGAGTAAACACGTATAGCCACACAAACAAAAATGGGCTATGGAAAAATAATTATTTAATATAGAAATTTATATGTTGAGTAAGTTACTATTGGTTTGAAAATAGTAGCCTAGGGTAAAGTGCA